CCAAAATGGGAGAAAGTCACATCTTCACTGTGCATATTCAGGGTACTTGAAATTTTGTGGACAGGCCTGTGGAAGGAGAGGCCATCTGTCCTGAGCTCACTCTGTGAGCGCGGCAGTATTCAATATATACTTTCAAGGAAAAAAGCACTAGCAACTCTGATGACTGCATAAAGATGAATAAAAATGTCAAGTACACCACCGCATTTTATTTCTGGCTTTGAAAGGTGATCGTTCCATTTCTGTGAATTTGTAGAAATGGGGTCTTAATAGGATTTTGCTTATTTTTTCACTAAGGATGATTGTCTATTTTAACACAATGGTAAAGAGTTACCATTTTGTTATATCTAATACTTAGATCTTATGATAAGTAACACTTTTTATAGAAGAGTACAAAAGCAAAATAACAATTAACTGTTAGACTAGTATTAGAATATAATGTTAATTGCAAAACATTTTCCTGATGTACTGCATCGAAACGTCATAGGTAGACGTTGCTCACTATCAAATCTAACATGAGCTGGGTGGATTTAGCTTTCCTTAAAATGAGACAAAGTGATTATTCCTGTACATGTGTCAAAAGAGATCATATTATTTGTCTACGATAATTAGGTCAGTACGACTTTCTCTGAAATACTTAGCTTTCCACAAAACTAAAGAAATGCTTCCCATCTCCAGCTTTATTTATCATTTCATATCTAGTATTGCTAAACTGCAGGAAAAATTAACTTTGTTTTTGATGCTAGAGTTTTGTAAATGTTAAATGGTCTAACAGATTTCAGGCTTTCTTGTAAGAACATACATTTACTTTTAAACACCTACTGCAATCATAAGGTATCAGTTATTATCTCTAAGTTAACTTTACTACAGTTAGATGAGGTTCTTTCAGAAAGTCATAAAAATTGATTTGATTCCACTTCTATATTGAGATGTGAAATGTTTTTAAAAATTCTACAGGTCTTTCCTAAATAAACTAATATTGCAAACTTATAAAATATTTTCTCTATAATTCATTTATATTCCTAGTTTGAAAGAATCAGTAATTATCTATTCCCACTTAATATGGATTACACATTTTAATTTATGAATATAAAGTGATCAGATAGATTTACTTTGGAAATACTTTTATGCCTAAAATAATCTGCAGAGTTTGAAATTTCCTTTGACTCTCCAAATAATTAGAATTTATGAAAGCTAGGAAAAATTATTCTATCACTGTATGTCTACTACAAATGATAAGTAAATGTATAATGGACTAGATAAGAAAGCATTTTTTGGATTCTAGGTTATAGAAAATGTCTTAAATATCTTAGAAATTATATTAAGTGCAAAGAAACAGTTCAAAAATAAGTCTTGGAATATGAACTGAAATATTTGGTTAAATGAAATGTTTACTATAAACATAATGGTGAAAAATTAAATCTTCATTGTACAATTGGTACAGGTTGAGTATTTTAACTTGAATAAAAATATGTTCCCTTTGTTTTGTATCTTTTTCTCTCAAATTAGATTTTACAAAAGATATTTTAGAGGTTGTTTCCTTTCATCTGTTAATGTAAGTTTACTACAATATTTGGAAATTTTTAAATTACTGCATTATAAATAAATTTGAAATCTATGCTTTCAAGAGTCAGGGCTTGAGACAAGCGTTTTTGTTCTATGTGATTTTTGTCTTCGTTTGCCAAAGCTGTCTAATGCTGGTTGCTAAAAACATCAAAGATGATTCACTCATAGGGAATAAAAAGAAAAATAAGACAAATAACCTTGAATTATTTATGTCTTTTCCTATTTATATTAAGAAATATGATGAAAATATTTTGATGCCTTTTGTAATTGTGTCAATATTAAGCAAGAACTATCTAAACATATGTTGATTTCTTTCCTTTACTGTTAGTTTCTCCATTTTAGCTTATGGAACACATTTTTCATAACTATCTGAAAAAAATTATTACGATAAGATGACAAGTGCAAAGTTTAAATGATTTTTAGAGCAAAATAGAAGATGGATGGTAAGGAACAGGAGGATGGACATTGCGGAGCTGAGAAGGGGACCCAGGAGAGGGGAGACGGAAAGGCGGAGAGAAGAAGAAATGAAAAGAATTAAGGTGCACTTTGCATACTGCCGGGTCCCCACACTGAAAACGATCATTATTGCAGCAAATATATATTAATAAGGAAACTACCAAAAAGAAGAAAACACTGCATTTGCTTAGTAAATTTTATATGTATCTTATGAACTCTTCTTAATCTCACATTTTTGAGACGCTGATATAAAAATCATCTAAGCTTACTTTATCTGCAAAATCACACATAGTATGCAGAATGACATCTAAAGAGAGTGAAATAGTAATGTTAGTTTATTTCTGAAGCAATCTTGACACTAATGGTAAATTACAACTTGGGAACATCTAGCATTTTTACCTTTATGACAGAAGGCTTTTTACATATTTAACGTAATTCCAGGGAAAATAAACTGGAATTATGTATAAAGATACGTACACTGTAACCAAGGGGCATTTATATTCCCCTGTAGAATACTTACACTGATTTTATTGCCATTTTGTGTCATTTTCTAAAGGGTATAAAATACAGCCAGTAAACAAACTAGACTTCAGATTTAGGATGACAGCTACTCCTTCAGAAGCAATATTCAGATATTTAATCTTAAGAATGTTGAATATTTTACAACCAAGTGTACTTTCCCCAAAATGAAAGAATTGTGCACTTCGGTTTCTAATTTTTGCAGCTGTGATGATCAGCAGAGCCGCTACCGCTTAACCCATCATCACTAATTCCTAAATAATAAATCCAAATCCCAGCCTTTTGCCTTTTAATTTCTTGAGGGGGGAAAGAACATGTGGCTACTTTTATCAGAAAGCAACTATTCTTTTGCTAAACGGTTGACTCAGCCTGTGACTTAGAATGTCACACTACATCTAATTCTAGCTTTGAAGTCTGTAGCTTTAAACTAATTTGAGCAGACTCTTCACCCAGGTTCAAACTCTTATGCTTCAAATGCAGCAACTGAAAAATCCGAGAACTTGAGCTTCACTTTAGAACTAAAATAGATTTCATTGTAAGTCTCTGAGAATCATTGTCTTGGTGTTGTATGAGAATTTGTGCTATGGGTCCTGTGCTAAGTGGGAAAATGAAGCAAAATGTACCTTTGCAATGTATTTTCTATTTTACTTTTTCTCGCAGAACTGTTTATAATGGTCCCTCATGAAGCTTTATCAATGTTTTATATTTTTGGCAGCTGGATATCATCCATTGTGCTGACGTGATTGTAAATAATCTCAATTTCATGTTTCCACTCAGAAACTTGAGTATATTTTTATGCTTACTAGCATGCAATTAAATACTTTTTTCTAAGGGTTGCTTTAGCCAGGATAATTGTTAGAAATCCAGATACTTCTTTCTGTCTTGAAGCACAAGGCAGACGCTACATGTACTGTGAGCTGGACAGCCCCAGAGTCCCAGGGGTACCAGGTTCACATGGCCTGGAAGACCTTGTCTGTCTCTACAGACATCATTTTTTTCTTACACAGCCTGGCAACCACACAGGGATAGTGTGCTTGCATTGTATCTTCTCACAATCATAAGCTCTAAAACCACCATGCTAAAGTCCT